TTTCAGGTAATGTCAAATGTTTGGGCTAGTTTTAAATAAGTATTATAAAACCTTCCATTCTTTTTTTAGCAATTTCTTTAATCAAACTAACATTTCCGTCTATATTTAACGGCCTCTTATATTCTGGCCTAATGGAATATTTAATTTCAATGGCAATATTGGAACGTCAGATATTTGAAATTTGTTTTCTAATCATAGCCAAGAAAATCAAAGCAGATCTATCCTACAAATGTAACTCTTCAATATATAAACTTCTTGCCAATACCAAAGATAAATGCAGCGAAGCCAGAAAACCTGGAGTATACTCAGTACTGCTGGACGACAACAGATTTAATAGGAACAAAAAGTTAACATACATAGGTCAACCAACAGATTGTTAACAAAAAAGATGGCGGAGCTTAAGTATGATATGCAGAATAAGAAGTTTAGTACCACCCTAGCTCAATATGCAAGCAAGCCAGGTATAACAGTTAAATGGGAAGAAGCTAAGATTATATTACCAATACTCAATAACAACAAGCTAAGAACAATAGAAACACAGGAAATCTTCGCGAAATTCCTCAAAGAAAATTGCATTAACAGCAGAGATGCAGACTCTCCATCTAAGGCTTGGCAATCACTCATTGACAACCCCCTAAAGGAAGTGGGCTAACCCATCTATCTGAAGTGATATGTGACATCACAATCTTACAAATTTATAAATATTTTAGTATTTTAATCTATTTCAGTGTTTATTTAATGATGGTAATTTAAAAGAAAATAATTTTTGTAAAAACAATGACATCATAAGAATGAAAACAAATTTCAAATATCTGATATTCCAATATTGTAGAACCTGAGGAAGGCCATTAAATATAGCCGAAACATTAGTTTGATTAAAGAAATTGCTAGAAAAAGAGTGGAAGGTTTTATAATACTTATTTACAGAAGTTCTAGCTTTCCGTGCATACAACTCTAGTTTTAAATAAAATTTACTCCAATATTTATCTATTTAAACAAAATGCTGAAACCATTATTGTAAATTAGAGAATAGGCTCATAAAGGTTTCTAGTCTACAATGTTTAAATCTTATTAATAGTTAATAATTTTATTTTATATAGTATGTAGTTTAATAGTCAATACTCACAGTTAATATTTTTACATTTAATTGCTGCTAATCGAAAATATAGATTTCATAGCAGATTTTTAAAACTAATGTTGCTGTATGTAAATAATAATGTAATATTTTAACATACTATAAGCTTAAAATTTATTAATCAAATTATAAGTTCTGAGAATATATAGAATTATAAATAGTAATAATAATATTTATTGGGTTGTAATTTGAAAAATTGTAGACATGTAAATTCTCACTGTTATCTGTCAGCTGTCTGTCTTTTTTTTAATCTCACGAATGGAGTTAAATAGATGAAATCCAAGGAAAACCTTAGGGGCAGGAGGTCCCAATTAATTATATATGAATTTCCGATGCAAACTGGAAGTCACGTTATTTCAGTTCAAAACAACTTTTCCCCCGAAAGCAGTTAGTAGATGACTGGTACAACTATATTTCTAAAGAAAAAGTATGATGTACAGGGACAAGACACTACTAATTTGAGGTGGAGAGCATATACTTTAAATTAAATACATTAATTTAGTATTTTATTCTATTTTACAGAATATAAATTTCTGATTTATTATTGTTTATATCAGAAATGATCTAATATTTTTTCATTTCAAAGCAAGAAATTGTTTAAGTATTAAATGACTGATACAGAGTATAATTTTGATATATTAAAAGTAATGATTGAATTATATTTTCATTTAAAAAGTCTTATGGTTAAAAACCTTATGTGTTTTAACTAATTTAATTATTATTTTAAATGTTATGATTACTAGAAAACAAAAAAAAAATTTTTTTAATGTAATTACTAGTTAAGGATTACAGTCGACCCCCCTATAAGATATAGATATGTTCCAATTTATTAGGAATCCGATTTCTTACAAGTCGTTCCAATCACAGCCCGACACGTGTCAAGTTTACGGACTACGGCTGATTGAAAGGTTTTCTTTCATAAAATTAATCGATTCTACACTAATCCGACTCAACATTTCCAAAATACGTATATTTTTTCGTAGTTTTATAGGAATCGTAATTATAGGGACCGTAATTATAGGGGGGTCGACTGTAAATAATAGCAACTAACTAATGAAGAATTACATATGTAAAGTTGTTGTTAACATAATATTGATAGATATTTGGGGAACCAGGATGACTTTGATATGTTACAAAAGTTAAGTTTATTCCATTTTGTTGGCTTTCTTTAATTCTAAAGTTGTTTTTTTTTTCTTTTCTTTCTTTTATATGTGATGGGTTGATCCAAGAGTTTAGATGTATAGAATGTCATACTCTAATCTATAAATATATACGAAGGCTATTTTTATAATAAGGTCCATTTTTTAATAAGAAGAAAAATATTGTAAATATCATTAAAATATATTTTTCCCATATTCTACATACTTTTATATACTTTTATACATAATTTCCATTTTTGTTCAAACATTTGTCATACCGCTCAACAATTTTTTGAATTCTGATTTCAAAGAAATCTGCCGCCTGTGAAAAAGCAGAATCTATGACTGCAGCTTTCACTTCTTCATCATTGTTAAACCATTGACTACCAAAAAACTCCTTTAAGTATCAAAACAAGTGAAAACCACTGGATGCAAGGTCTGGACTGTAAGATGGATGATCCAGTTGTTCCCATCCAAAAGAACTGATTAAACCTTGTGTTTGTGCAGAAACATGTGATCTTGCATTGTCATGGAGCAACATCACACAGGAAGACCATAGACCATGCAACTTGTTTTGTATGGCACGCGGAATTTTCTCAAGGTCACACAATATGCATCAGAATTGATTGTTGTACCTCTTGGCATAAAATCCACTAACAAAATCCGTTTTCTGTCCCAAAAGACAGTTGCCATAATTTTCCATGCTGAAATAGACTGTTTGGTTTTCACTTTGGTTAGTGAAGATGTATGTCGCCATTCCATTGACTGTTGCTTGGACTTAGGTGTCATGTGAGACACCAAGTCTCATCTCCTGTAACGATGTGGTCCAACAATTCATCTCTTCCTCATCATAACGAGTCAAAAGTGATAAAGCACTGTCCAATCTTTTTGTTTTGTGATCGTCAGAAAGCAGTTTTGGAACCCACCAAGAACACAGTTTTCAATAATTCAGTTTCTCCGTAACAATGGTATACAAAACTGATCTTGAAACCTGTGGAAATTCAATTGGTAACATTGAAATTATGAATCGTCAGTCCTCTCAAATTTTGTTATCCACATCACAAACTAAATCTTCAGAAATCAGAGAAGGTTGGCCAGGGTGGCTCATCATGCACATCAACCTGCCCATCCTTGAACATTCTCACCCACTTTCGAACTTTACTGTCATTCATAGCATTATCACCATAAACTTCACAAATCTGATGGTGAATTTCTGCTGCTGCCAAGTTTCTTGCACTCAAGAATCGAATAACAGATCGTATCTCACAGTCAGCGGGTGACTCAATTTTATTAAACATTATAAACTTTTACAGCTCAGCACACAGACAGATGAAACAGCTGAAAATGCTTTCTAAACATGCGCAAAGCATGCTCGGAGCAGACGCACTGCCGTGATCGAGCGTTATTCTCACTCTTATTCACAAACGGACCTTATTTTAGAAAATAGCCCTCATACAATATATAATCTCTTGTGCAATGGTTGAAATTCAACAGATATTCATTACACAAATATTTTAAAAATATATTTATGAACACTTTCAAATAGATTTTTATAATTATTATTTGAAATTCTTAAATGAAATGCACTATTTCATAATGAATAAAATAATAAATTTTTTATTTTACAAGATATAATTTATAATTATTTACCATTTTAATAATTTTATCATTATTTTTGTAATTCTGATGATATATAAAGGTCTCAGTTTTTCATTCAATTATTTATTTTTATTTGTTGTTTTATAATTGCATTCAACTTAATTATTAAAAAATTCAAAATAATATATTTAAGTAAATAATTATTATATTTGAAAGTATTTGAAATTTTAGAACAATTTTAATTACATTAAACATTAATTATCATTCATGTTCGTAATTTTTAGATCAAGGAAACCAATGACAAATATGAAAAGCTAAGAGAAAAATAAAGAAAATTTAATACCAAGGAACAAAGAGAGACCCAAAAAAATAAGAATTTTGTTAATAGGATGAATGTATTTTTCTTAATCACCAGAAAATAGTTAAATGTATATCCAAGAAGTATATTTTTAAATGTATGTAAAGAAACTGTATTAAAATGATTTTTAATATTGTATTTTTAAGTATGAAGTTGTTGAAATAAATTTGGTTTTTTATTTTTGTTTATTTCAATTTATAATAATTAGTACATATTTATTACATATAATTTTACAGAATATTTTCTTATAGTTTTTTTAATATTTATTTAAGTTTTTATTTAGAGTGTAGAGGAATCGAAATGAAAGAAAAATACATTCATGATAAATTAAAAATTTTTTACATTTGATAACAGCAATAAAGCATTATTTTTAATTTATTTAAAAAAAATTATATGGTGCAGTTTATTGCATATATCTTGGAAGTCATTTTCGATTCTAAACTTATATTGAAAGAACACGTCGATAAAATCATTAAATCCCAAACTATTGGTCGCTTTAATTGGATTCTTTGGCGCTTTTGCCAAACTATTTCTTCTAAAACGATCCATTGTCGTAATCAAAATTTTTTTTTTACCCCACCGTTAGGCTGGCAATTTCTTTCGCATTCTTTTTCTATCCGTCTATTCCGAATATGGGCTTTGTGGAAGAATCTTTACATGGAGGTTTTTTATATTTTAAACACATTTGTGAACAGTTACTTTATAATTTGTAATATCTTAATATTTATTAGTTATATTTAAATATAAAAATTAAAGTTGTGTATATGTTGCAGAGAGAAAACAAAAGGATAAAAACATTTAAAAATAGTGATATGAAATCAGTTTTAACGAATATTTTTATGTCTGAGAAATGAAGTTCCTCTAATGTTTAATCCGTTTGTTCATCAGATATTTTAAGAACTTGCATAAATCTTCGTTAGAGGTAAGTAATGTATTGAAAAATTTAAAAAATCACAGGTTAAGATCATAAATGTTTTTAAATTTAAAAAAAAAACTGATTATGACTAACGATCATCTTTTTAAATGTAAGACTTAATCATTTTTAAGACGGCTCTTATAAATCCAATTTCTATTGTATAATAATTAGTAAATTTAATTAAAGAGTAATTTTATCATATTTGAGAAATAGCATTTTTATGAATTTCGTTTTAAAGGAAGTTTGCTGAGTTGTGACATTTTAATTATCTAGGTGAATTATCGAATATATTAATGGTGTTCGTTCGATAAATATACAGTATATATAATATACATTTATATGCATCATATATATTTCCTTCCTTAACGAGCAAAATGTGACAAATCAAAGTATTTCTCCTAATAATTATCTTGGGTAATATTTATATGTACGTGTGCCGTGTACTAAGTTATCTTCGTAAACATTTCCATGATTAGACGCCGAATTTAAATCTCAGGTAAATCTTTTCTTATAGATTATGCTTAATTGACATATCGACAGATTATAGCAGTGATGAGCAATCCTTTCTGGCTGTGAGCCAAAGTGAACTTCGTAGGCTTCATTTTTTTCTTTGAATTGCGGGCTTTGAGCATACCTAGTATCAACATACTTCATACTACAGGCATACCTCGACTTACGTCGTTTCGAGTTACGTCGTTCCCGATTATACGTCGCTTGTAAAAAAGTATATGGAAAAATAAAAATCAAGTTTAAGTCATTTTATTCGACTTTACGTCTGTCCGCCACAAATATTGAAGTCGTAATATCACTAGATAAACGTTTAAAGCACATAAAATCATATTAAAATATATACAAGTATGTACTGTATTTACAGTACACGCATTCGTAAATTTAGATTATTTTTTTTGTACTATATTAAAAACTAAAATTTATTTGTTTGTAAGCTTAAAATAGATTTTTATTAACCATATATTATTTAAAATGCTTTCCTAGTGATAAGTAGATTCGGAGACAGGTAAATTCGACTTACGTCGTTTTTCGACTTACGTCGTTTTCCTGGAACCAATTACCGACGTAAGGCGAGGTATACCTGTAGTTACTAGAATAATATATGCTAATGATATGCGGATTAGTAATAGTGCTACATAGTTTATTCTCGTCTTTTTACTGGTCAAGCTTCTTCGTGACGAATATCAGCTTAATTAGGATTACGTAATGGCACGAGATAGAAAGCGGGAAAATAAAATGCACCTGAGGATCAATTGCACTTGACGGGTCGCGGGTTGCTCATGGCTGGATTATAGGAAATGCATCAATACTCTAAACCACGGCTCTAAACAGTTAATTACAAATGTAAAATATAATTTATTCGATGTAGTAATAAATACTTAAAAGTTTAGAATAGGAAAATAAATGTTTCTAATGTTATTTATGGTTTCGTTTGACTCGAATAACTCTTCTCTCGATAAAAATCCAAATAAGTCGTATTATTTAATTCAAAGTTTATTGAGTTTAATGGTAACTTTGTAACTTTTTTAATTAATAATTATATCTCTGCACGTCTTAATCATCAACACCAAACTTGTAAAACATATCGTGGTTTACTTAAAATTAAGAAAATTTTATAATGGAATTTATTATAGTAATAACTTGTGGGGGGTATTCATTAATTAAGAAAATATCGTAGTAAAATATAATATTTATCATCATCTGTTAAATATTAACATTGACTTTTATAAAATATTGACATACTGTATATAAGAATCGAAAGCGAAAATTTTTCTTTGTGGTGCTCGGGGGACAATGCACACTCGTTTCTTGAGCCATAAAGAATCATTTCGTTTTGCAAACAACTCATTATTGGCACTCGAAAGAAGTATTTCCCTTCGAAATGTGGAAATTTATACGATTAGGAATATTCTTTTATCATAAGCACAGATTGTAAAAGCATTATGCAATGCATTTGTGATCACCCGTAGTGAAGTCGCAAAGCGTGCCAACTTTCTTGATAAAATATCGGATTACTATTGACAAATAAACTTATATTTCTGAAATATTCAAATATAAGTAAAAATAATCACTAGCTTGTGTCGATTGTTTATCGAAAGTTTATTTGTTTGATACTAATAAGAGTCAAATTAGCACAGCTTTAACTGTGAAATGATCTTGAGAATTTTGTCGTATAAAAAACTTGCTTGTGCTCTTTCTTAATAACAGAAAAATAATAAAAATTCGAAATTATAGTGGGAAGTCTCATGGAACCTATTTAAATATTATACACATGAAGCAAACCTCGACAGCCCGTCGATCTTGCGCGAACTCGTGACCAACTACCAGTTTCAGTGGACTGGCGGGTTCGGCTGTTTATGACGGCTGAATTATATGGTTACTAGAAAGATGATGCAGTGGCCATAAGAAACGGCCTAGAGGACTGGATTCGATTCACGGGCCGCCAATCAGTCATTAATAATTTAGGGAATGAATCTCTTAGAAAACGAAATATTCATACATATCAATACTTTTATTAGAATTCTATAATTAAAAACCTTTACTATTTTTTAGTCAATAAGTTAAAAATAATAACAAATTAATCAAGAAATATCATTAAAAAACGCCATTAAAAATTAAACGAGTACTAAATGAGATTTCACCGCGACACTGGGAATCGGTAGGCTGCCATATGTTATTTGCGGGATAAGTTTATATTAATAGCAAATTTCTTAGATTATTAAGTAAAATCTATTGAGGTCATTTGCAGGTGTATTTGGTACTTAATTATTGGATATTTTATTATGTCATGTATCGTAAGAAACACCTAAATATGACAGATAATTTTCGTTTTGTTATTACATCAAGCAAGCGATGCAATAACAAAAACTGATGCGCAAAACAAACAGATAAATACATTAAATATAATTTTGTCTTTAAATGCTACTTATGACGATCAAACTACAGATGCCAAAAAATCAATGATTTTTTGGCATCTGTAGTTTTATTGATTAAAGTAGTAAATATATATATATATATATACAAAACAGCATGTACTAACAAATACATATATATTTATAAAATAGGTACCCTTATAATTTTATTCTACCACTATGTCATCTAGGCAGATCAGAAAGTATATCATCTACGGAATTGTGTTATCATGCATATTTATCATTACATACATGTATTTCCGTGGAAATGACGACGAAGAAGACTATTTGGAGTATATCACGTTAAAAATTTCGAACAAAAATCACGAGATTCTTCCCGAAAAATACAAAGACAAAAAGCTTCCCTTCCACCAAGTTTACGAATCTAGGCAAGTCAATTTCGAACAATATAAGATAATACCAATAAATAATCAATCCAGAAGTAAATTATTATTGTTATGGACTCCGTGGAACGGAATCAAGAAAACTATAAATTATTATTCACTGCAGAATGGTCAGTTTTCTTTTATCAAATATGGCTGTCCTAATGTTAAATGCCACGTTACATCAGACAGAAAAAGAATAAGAAAAGCAGATGCTATACTTTTCCATCTTTTGGATACTAAGCTTTATGATATGCCGAAGTACAGACATCCAGACCAGCGCTGGATTGCCTATAATTTGGAAGCACCGTGGTTGATACACGAAAATCTAACAGCCATGGAAGGGATCTTCAACTGGACTATGAATTACAGAAGCGATTCAGATATTATAGTCAAGTATGGATTCATTGGTAAGACGGATACGAAATACGATTTCCGCGCGGAATTATCCGGAAGGAAACCTGTCATCTGGTTTTCTAGCGACTGTAAGACAGACGGACGTCGAGAAGATTATGTTAAAGAACTTTCTCGCCATATACAGATAGACGTGTACGGAAAATGTGGAAATAAAACATGTTTCCCTTCCCAATCCGAATACTGCTATCAGAAACTACTAAAAAATTATGTATTTTATCTATCTTTTGAAAATTCTATCTGTAAAGATTACGTCACGGAGAAGTTTTTCAACGTTTTCAATTATCAGATTATTCCGGTGGTGTTTGGAGGCGCGGATTATACGAATGTGGCACCGGCCGGCTCCTTTATTGATACTAAGAATTTTCCCAATCCACGAGATTTGGCGACTTACATGAAGAAGATTATGAACGGTTCCACTGCTTTAGCCGAATATTTTCAGTGGAAAAAACAGTTTAAATCGTATTTATATCCTTGGACTTGTTATCTTTGTGATAAATTGCACGAACCCGTTACTTCCAGCATTCGTCATAATTTCAAAAAGTGGTGGATGGATGATGCGGATTGCCATCGATGGATACCGGATAAAGGATTTGTAAAGATTGAATGAATATGTTAAATTTGCTAAATCCTTTATGAAATTTCCTCTAATCTTACAAATTTTAATGCTGTTTTGAAGTATTTATTGTAAAAATTGTTAATTGTTTACTATGAAATAAAGTCTATGGAAAACTTACGTTCTTTCCCTCTTCTTCGATGGTGTTTTATATGGAGATTTTAGCTCAATGTAGGCTCTTTCTCCGAGTAGACATGGATATGTGTATGATCGCTAGGCGACCGATTAGCCGGCTGTATCAAACAGCCATACGTACGCGCGGGAAATAAATGCCTTCCGGGAGGACTTTTATGGGGAACTGGCCTCCTATTCAGTCGTTATAGGCAAGGAGAAAACCCGGAAAACTCCAAGCAGCCAGCCTGTCCGACCGTGGCGCGAACCCACGACGAACCTCCCAGTCTTTAGGGTCTGGTCACCACTACGATGAGCGGCAACGGAGACCACTCGCCCACTGGTGGGGGCCCTTACGTTCTTGATCGTGAGTGATCTTTTAACATTTCATGACGATAGCATTATCTTCACCGAATGTTGAAATATGTAGAATGACGAATTCTACATATTTCAACGAGAATTTAATGATACCAACAGTTTAATTCAATTATTAAGTGTCAAATTTTCATTAGTTCTATACGAAACTTAAAATAATTTACGCATTAAAAAGTTATGGTAATTGTTTAACAGTATAAAGTGATAAAACGTAAAGGTGGTTCGTCACTAGCAGTACAGTACAAATAGTGACTACTAAGGATACAAAGTTTCACGGCCGTATTCTGTAGACTGAGTTAGAAAGTTGAGGAACTCCAGTTTAAATTTAACTCGGAGTCAGATTACGAGTTATCCATCTTCCGTATTCAGATAAAAATATAACTCTAGAGTAGCGAAATACCAACGTTCTAAAACAATCCTGTATTCGAAATTAAATAAGTAATCTTTTGTAAGTTGCGTCTTATTGGTTGCAAGAAAACACGTGTATAGAAAATAGTGGAAATTACATCGTACATATCAATGTACGATGTAATTTCAGCACTTTCGAGAAAGAATTATTACTAGAATTAGTAGGAAAGCTATAAGAATTTGTTCTAGAGGTCTCATAATATTTTTTTCTTGAACGTTGCTGTTGAAGTTTTTCACTAAATCGACCTAATAAACATCTTTCTGAATCATTTTTTATACCGTATAAAAAATAAATTCATTTTCACACCTTTGTTCCAAATCATTTCTTCTCTCACCATTAATTTTTCCTACACAGAAATCACAACATCGACTTCGAAAGTATTGCGGATATTTCAAATTATTCTAAATTTTCTATCATTTCCGCCATGTTAAAACGAGCGCAATTGCCAAGCATCAACTCTCGATTTTAACTCTAAACTACCAATCTCATCGAGTAAAAATTAACTGAATCTATTAGGGTTACTTGACTACTTTGTGAATGCCAATTTCTTGAAAACTCTAGATTTAACGTTTACTTTAACTCTAACTCAGCCTACAGAATACGCCATCAGAGTAATAAATTCTGAACACAGTGTGGGAAAAAAACCAACTTGAAAAAAGTGATGAGCAGAAGAACCCGCAATCAAATTTGGAAACATGTTTTTCTTTTCCTACACGATAAGATAGATCGATAATCGAGGCGGTTAAGGCGACAGCCTACTTCTTTGGAGACCAGAGATATCAAATCCAGCCGAACAATAGGAATTTTTCATAATTCCGGATATATTGGGCACCCATCCTTCCTTACTCTGCCGTCCCCATTCATTGTGGGCATGACCAAACCCACGATAGGCTTTGAAAAACTTCATTATTGTTCACAAGGCAGAATAAGACAGACATAAGTATTATTAATCAAAATAACTAACTAAAATTATATGTGGCGCCATCTGTTATGAGATTTTGTTATACATTTTTTTAATATATAATTTTAATTATTATAATATAGCAAAAGACTTAGTTTTGAGAGTAGAGATGACTTTTATAAAACACTGTAAATGCTAACAAGTAAAATCTTCATTAAGTCTGATCCCACGAGAGATATTACACGTGACCACCCTCTCTCTCTCCATCCCCTTGACTTTTCACAACCAAAATTTAATAGCATCAATACACCTTATATAGAAGTTACTATGCCAAATTTCGTTTATTTATTTTCATCCCGTACTGAGATATTAAACAAAATAGACACCAACACACACACATATCCACGGAATTTTTAAAAAAATACGTTTTTTGGATTCAGGGAGTCTTAAAACGTGGAGATTTTCAAAAAACCCGGAGGGTAAAATTTGACACGATTTTCATACTTTCCTTGTTATGTATACATAACAGCGGGGGGAGTAAGAATACGTAAACCTGAAGAATGAAAATAGTTCGTATTACAATTTTAATGAAGAAAAACGGAAGTAAAACACAATATTCATTTTTCAAAAATAACTGAAATTCTGAACACCTAAGTTACAATGACGTGGAAAATCGAGACTTCAATATATATATATAAATATTATTAATTTAACTATATTTTATATCTGTTTTCAAGAGAGATGACGTGACATATTCACCTGTTTGTTTTCGTATATTCATAAATCCCTCCCGGTTTCGGCTGTTATTAACAACAAAAGCACACACAGCATAACGGCTCATATCAAGAAGTAATCTCTCCTCTATATATGTAACGATACGAATTAACGAGTTACACTTTATTTTGCAAGCAACAGCGCATAAAATGAAAGATATAGAATGTTGTTTATGATCCACATTTTCTGTTACATAAAATTACTATTGTGTATTCTATCGAAGATAAAAAATCAGCCTAACGGAAACTATCCGATAATATAGTCGTTATTTAATTTAACGATATCACAAAGATCACGAGTCGACTGGAAGAATCCTATTAACTAAAATTCCTTGTCTTTTGAGTTTCCTAACAAAGTAAAACAGAATTTAATATTTCAATAAATAAGTATCAATTTCAACTTTTTTATTCCATTGTAAATTTATATATACAAAATTTTTATGTAATCAAAAAAATTAACAACTTATTTTCATATTGATGTGACCATAATAATGAAGAACAATAATGATAAATAAATGCAATAGTAATTTCTCATTACTGTCAATTTGTGTTCTGAAAGCCTTTTCTAATTTCTAGGATTAAAGTAATTTAGCTTCATGCATAGTTTAGATGCTAAATGTATTAGTTTTGAATCAAAATATAAATGTTATATTTTATAATTACATGGTGTTAAATACATTTTTAGAACACACTAACATTAGATGTAATAAAAGATTATAGAGAAAATTTTACTTACATATTTAAATGAACAAATCAGTATTTTTTAAATTATATTAGAGATATTATAGTCAATTTTTTCAGAACAAAACTATCTCATTTTACTCTCAATAATTTAAAAAATGTTTTAGTTACATGATAATGTATATAAACAATATATTTTAATTACTACAATTTTAAACTCTTATTCATAAGTTTTATTTTCACAAAATGTAATAATAAAATCTCCAGTATATGTAGTCTCCAATATCAGAAAAAATGAATAAACTTAATCTAATCTACTCTCTCTAGAAAAATTAACACTTAAATATTTAAAAAACATTCTGGAGATTGCTTTTATAGTTTCAATGGTTTTTAATCTTATAAGGCAAATTTTATATTGATCACTTGAAAATTTTATAAATCTCATACTGTAAATAAGACAACCTAATTTCATTCATATGGATGATGGTTTCCAACACAAACCTATAATATTTAATTATATAAATGAATCATGTAGTTAAATTAAGTATTTAATATTCTTTCCAATTATTCCTTTTCAGTAATTATACAGTATCACATAATTTTTTATAATTTAACCAAACACTTGTTATTCATTAATACACTGAACTTATTATTAAAAAAATAAAACTATTATATTATTTCTAACTCTGTATATTTTTAATTTCTTATCATTCTTCACAATTTCTGTACATTCTTCCTATTATAAAAGTTTTAACTAAAACTTTATTTATGTGTCTACATATATTCTTTCTTTTCAATGAAAAACTTTGTCTATAAAATTCTAGTTTTCAACCATCACTAAATAGATTTAATCTCTTCTCTTTTGGCGTATGCACAGCGTGTAAAATCTTCAAATTTCGTGGAACAGTTGAGAGGTTGATCCTTGTTTTCCTGCAAACAACTCATTAGATCATCTTTCAGTTCTACACAAAAATCAGGCTGGACTTTGGCTTTCAGAGGAGTAATAACCGATTGTCTACTCGCATTTCTATCCATAATTCTTCTTAATTCTAAATTTATCCTGGACAGTTCTTCGGTTTTAGTTCTCTTCCCACTGTTTTCTAGTGAAATTTGTTGAGGCTTGCTGGGAGGTCGTCTCCTTTTTTGTGGCTGTTCTTCTTCTCCCATAATACGACGCGCAACATTCCTCGACACGGAAATATTCAACGCGCATTCTCTTCCTGAACTTTGTGAAGCGCCCATCGCCAATTAGAAAAAGAATTTAACTATAGGAAAGATACCTGGCAACCAAAAGTCATGCCTGCATACCTCCAACGTCGAAAACGAAAGATACTTATATTAACGGTCACTAGAGGCGCAAAACGGAAGTAATATTAATTATTATTTTTGACAGAATAATAACAAATGTAAAATAATATATTAATTACAATAGTTCATTTTTTCTACAAAAAAATATTTTCCCATTAATAGTTCATTTTTTTGTGACGAAGGTCCTGACTTTTCTGAAATTCTTGTTTTTTGCGATAAACTCCTGTAGTTTCATGTGTCGCTTTTTTTTTTCTTTCCTTAAGCAAATGTCGATAGCGGAAGATCGCATCCAAAACGCCTCGTTTTGCTTTTGCTCCTTTCAAAATCTGGATCATTCGCTACAATTTGATCAACAATTTCGGTTATCTTACCAAACTTTTACTAAGGAAATCTATAGAGAATTTTTTGGGTTCATCGTTTTCAGAATTCTATTTTCTAGTTCCACATGAATTCCATGTTCTGCCAGTTCTTGAAGGTCGTCGTTGGTAAGGCTCTCATCAGAAATCTGCTGTAACTCCTCAATATCCTGCTCGTCTATCTCCTAGTCCTGCTATATCGATTAGGTTGAGTTTGGCCAACTTAACGATACGCTCTTCTCGTTGAGAATTCTTGGATACCTTCAGCCATAACTTCTTCCACACTTTGTTCGTGCATTTATCACTTAATTCTTGCCAAGCGAAGTCAATATTGCCTGTGGCATCCGTGATGTTATATTTTTTTTTTTCCAANAGTATTAATATATATAGCTTGTTCGTTAGATTTAAACTAAGTGTTAAAATTTAAACAAAATTACAGGAAGTGACAGGAATATAGTAATTAAGTAGAAGTACGGCGACGGTTAGATAAAATTAATGCAAAAATCACCCAGTAGCCTTCATATTTTCATTTCTTCTTATTCTTTCCGCTCTGTAAGCACTATGAGAGTCCTTTTTTTACCAGGCTATTGCGAGTTCGGCCTTGTACATAATAGAAGCGACCGGGTGATCAGAGTCGCGGCCAGATTTTATATACATTTTGTATATGTTCAGCCTGCATTCGATCTTTATTCTAGGCGCAGCGCTCTTGGTGAGTAAAGGTGGCTATAAACAGAAAATTCTGTTCTGCTCCCCAATCTTATTATCTAATAATCCGCCTCTTAACACATTGGCTCTGCAAGAAAACGACACGAAGAAGTCTAGTGATGCCACACAGTATCAAAAAATTTTTGGACAACAGTGCGGAAACGATTTCCAAACTTACGTTTAACACACCTCTCGGCAACATTTTTGTCCTTTTTTTTTAGGATAACCTGGAACATTCGTAAATCTTTAGTTTTAATAACTCCTACAAACTTCAAAAATAATTATTTTAAAATAAGACACTATTAGCATATTTGGTTTAAAAGTTTAGGTTTATCTTTAGTAAACAGCAGATGTTTACTAAAGATAAACCTAAACTTAAATATGTATACTGTATTCAAAGGACACAGTTCTCTCGCTCACAATGTAACGAATTAAAAAATTGTCAATCTTGATTCATTTCTTATGTTCACTAAATAGATTTAAAATAACTATTTAAAACAATGGAGTCAGATTAATGATGCTTAGTTAGAAAGTTGAGCAATGATGCTCAGAGTGCAATCCCGCTCACTTAGGTATCTCGAAACAGATTGGAATTGTGAATGTCTGATTGATGTGGCCAGCTAGCAAATGTCATCACAAGTCTATACTCAAGTGACCGCCATTACAGACAGAGGTTTTTTTCATTCGTATGTTGTTTTTCAGGCGACCTCTTATAAAAATTTTCAAATTTAAACTGAGGATAAGCACATCTTTATTTTAATTTTAAATTGTTATATTTAACCATTATGTGTATAAACTACATATATATTCCCGGTTTTCGTTTAATTTTAAATATGCTGTTAGGTCAACAAAAATGCATTAGAATCAAATATGGCGATGAAGGACAATGACACTCAGGTAAGGTAAGTTCAACAACCAGTGTTTTTAGGTGTTAGGTGATATTTCATCCGTTTTTTGTATTTCAAACAATACTTACTTAATGGCGAAAATTGAGTAGACAATAAAACATTCACAAATTCTAACAGTCACTCCAGAAAATCACAAACTAGAGACGTTAGAAAGCAAAAATATAAGAAGACCCAGACAAAAATTGTTACAAAGGTGTTAAGGTGACGAAGTGCAAAGGTGTAGAAACACCAAATAATTATAAGTGCGACTATTGTCGTAAGTAAATCTTTAAGTAGAATTAGGAGTGTCAGAGCCTAACCATTGAGCGGTAAAACCCTACATGGTCGGGCATTCCCACTCGATGGATAGATTCGAAATTGATTAATAAAAATTCTAAAAATAAGTTGTAACGTAAATAAAACCAAATTGTAAAGAATACTTAAAACTTATATGTTACTAATATAGTTTTGATGTTTGTATAAATTTGAATGTGTTATTTTAGTTTTCTCTTAGGTGCACGGCATTACGCTATTTTCCCCTATGTCAATTTAACGTCATTTTAAAAACTCATGAAAATGAAGAAATGGCATTTATGTATATGTTACCGCTAAAGCTCGAAAATCGTTAATGTGTACATTACCTAGCTAATCTGCAGATTAACTAGGGTGATCCGTTAAAGTTGCTAAAATTGTTCTATTTCTCAAATTACCTAGGTAATGTGCAGATTATCTAGGTAATCTGCAAATTACCTACTAGGCGCTCGGTAAAGTGAAAATAAGATCTTTGCTGAAACAACAGCAACGTTTCTGTACGCTTAAATTAACATAATGTTCTTTATTTAATTTTCGGTATCTAAAGAATCAAGTTAATACAATCAATCGACAAATTAGTTGATAGAATCAATCATCAATCAATTAAAAAACACAAAAAATCAAACGATTTAAAATATTAATACAATTAGGGAAATTATTATAGAGGAGAAGGTGGTATTATGGAACCCCAATTACATTTTAGTGAAATGTAAACAAGGTATCATAACTACACCCACATTTTTTGTGCGAAAAGTACTGGTAACTAGTAAACTAAATGTTCCTAATTGGATTTTTCGCTAGTGTAATTATAAGTATGGTTTTTGAAGGCTTTTGTACAAAAAGTCCGAAAGTAGGCTTAGAGAAAATCGGGTGGTAATATGGAACCTTACTGTATAT